GTAGAAAGCCCAAACGGCTATTTTTTGCAGGCCAACGGCCATTTTTTAAATGTTGCAACGACTGAAGAAAATTTTTGGAAATTTTTTTTAAAAAAAGTAGTTGTTGCGCCCGTTTGAGCCCATTTAGGACCGGTTGAACCAGCCCACTTAGGACCCGGGTCCGGGCCCAAACGGTCCCGGTCCTAACGGGCTTCTTCAATGAACCAGCCCACTTGGGCCTCAAGCCCTCTGGTCCCGGGCTTAGACGGGTAGGCCCGTTTAGGCCCACTATCCATATAGGCTTGTGGGCCTGGATCGGGCCTCGACCGGGCCCGAGCCTTACCGGCCCAGTTGCCACCCTTAGCCTAACATGAACATTAGTTGTCTGCTTCCCTATAATGCTACTTCTGTTTTAAGAATGTGAAAGCTACAGTAGATACAAACAAAACAGAACATGTGATGGAAGTATTTTTGCCTCATTGACACGTGTATTCCTCTTTTTTTTCTTTGGTTATCTTTTATAGAATCTTGAGATATATGAGAGTTTATTGTATTTTCATTTGGTAAATATCAAGGGATGGCCTATATGTGATTAAAATTCTACGGACACACATCTAGCAATTCTTCAACCTTATTTAATACAGTAACAACTTTCTATTTTCTAAGCCTTTTCTTTCTTATTTTTACCCGTAGCAATAAATTTTGAATTTGTTACTTCAATTGTATTTGTTTTTCTTTTGGCCAATAAGACCGTGGAAAGTAAGATGTTCTGTTGCATTCATGCATCAATCGAGCAGTTATAGTCTGTTTACCTCGAAATACGAGTAACAACTAAACTTGCATAGTGGTTTTAAGGATACGTGATCTGATTCAATACCAATTGATAAATGACGGATTAAGTAAATGAATTGAACGGTAAAAATAAATCAAACAAGTGTTTCAGCGATATGTCAACCTCGATGTGAAGAACTGAGACTACTTGAATCGATCACCATTGGAGATGAACCTCCAAGCTGAGAACATTCTGGAACAATGGAGCTGAATAGAAGAAATGCAAAAGTGTCTTATTGATTGCATATAGTGTGATATATATACACAATGACAGCTGTCAAGTAGTGGAGGTTCCACTATAATTTAACTAATTAACAACTAACTGCACTAAGCTTCTCTAACTAACTAACTAACGAGTACAAACACATAAATACACTTGACCACTCTTAACACCCCCCCTCAAGTTGGTGGGGAAGAATTCACTGCCAACCTGCCAAGGATACTCGTATCCTTAATTCCAGTCAAGGCCTTTGTTAAGATGTCCGCGAGTTGATCATTTGATGAGATATGATGCAGAGTAATTAGTCCATCTTGCAATTTATCTCTTACGAAATGACAATCAACCTCTATATATTTTGTACGCTCATGAAACACGTGATTTCTTGCCATATGTACAGCAGCTTGGTTGTCACAGAAAACAGGAACAGGTTCCTGATAAGTACCAATCAGTTCTTCTAGCAGCCTCCTCAACCATATCACCTCACCAACTACCTTGCGAATGGACCTGTATTCAGCTTCTGCAGATGATATGGAGATTGTGTCTTGCTTCTTTGATTTCCAACTGATTGCACTTTCTCCAATCAAAACTATATACCCACTGACTGATCTTCTTGAATCAGGGCAAGCAGCCCAATCTGAATCACAATATGCTCTTAGGGTGTAGTCAGAACTGTTGGACAAGAAGATGCCCAGTGTGGGATCAGCCTTGAGATATCTGAGTACATGAAATGCAGCTTTGAGATGTGGTTTTCTTGGAGATTGCATGAACTGACTCAGGTGTTGTACACTATAGGTAATGTCCACTCTTGTGTTTGTGAGGAAGTTTAGCTTACCCACAAGTTTCCTATAGAAAGTAGGGTCTGTTAATAATGGTCCCTTAGTTGCCTTAAGCTTGATGGTGCAGTCAAGTGGAAAAGTCACTGTACTATATCCCAGGCAGTCATAAAAGTCACTGTACTATATCCCAGGCAGTCATACTCTTTCAATAAATCTGTGGAAAATTTTCTTTGAGAAATGAGTACTCCATCAGCCTTATAGAATATCTATAAGCCCAAGAAATAGTGCAGTTTGCCTAAGTCCTTGATTCTGAATTTGTCATGTAAGAAACTCTTCAATGCTGTGATTTCACTTGAATCTGTTCCTGTGAGGATCAAATCATCCACATACACAGCTACAAATATGCTAGAGGTGGCACTCTTTTTGTAGAACAGGGAATAGTCATTTACTGAATGTACAAAACCCCTTGAACAAAGAGATTCTATGAGCTTGTCATACCACTGTCTGCTTGCTTGCTTTAGTCCATACAAGGACTTCTTCAATCTGCACACAATTCCTGGTGTGTCAACCTGTAAGCCTTGTGGTACATCCATATACACTTCCTCATTCAAATCTCCATGCAAGAAGGCATTATTGACATCTAATTGGAAGAGATCCCAGCCTTTTTTCACAGCCACACTTATCAGTGTTCTGATAGTTGTCATCTTAACAACAGGAGAGAAGGTCTCTGTATAGTCTATCCCTGCTTGTTGTGTGTAGCCTTTAACTACAAGTCTTGCTTTGAATCTTTCTATGCTCCCATCTGCCTTGTGTTTGATCTTGTAGACCCATCTACACCCTATAGTCTTCTTACCTGCAGGCAAAACTACTAGATCCCAAGTATGATTAGCATATAAGGCCTCAAATTCCTGTGTCGTGGCTGCTTGCCAAGCAGGATTCATGGCTGCCTCCTCATATGAACATGGTTCACTCTCATGAGAAATGTTCCTCATGACCTGCTGACTGTTGTGGCACAAGGTGTGAAGTGAAATCTATTGTGTTTTAGAGAGGAGAGAATTCAGAACTTGTGTGTGTTCATGTTGTGGTTGGTTTTTCAGTGTTGGAAGGGAGCAAACATAGTCATTCAGGTAAGAAGGTGGATTATGTACTCTTGAGGATTTCCTAGGTTCAGGCAATATGGTATGAGAATTAGTAGGAAAAACAGGCACAACATTGGTGGTATTATCTAGGTTGGTTGTTGTTTGTGGTTCACTAGGTACACTAGGTGCATCTTGTTGAGAGGAGTGTGCAATATTATCAGTAGGTGCAGGAGGAGTAGTCACAGAATGGTGAATGTGGTCTCTACCCTGCAGCTGACATTCATCTAATGTATCAGTCTGATCACAAACTTCCATGAATTGGACCTGATTTGGAGCACAGCTTGGAGTAGAGGTTATTAGCTTTAAGATGGAAGGAAAAGTAGAATGATCAGGAGAAATGGCAAATGGAAAAATGTGTTCAAGGAACTGGACATCTCTAGAGATGTGTATCCTTTTACTGCATAAATCAAGTACCTTGTATCCTTTTGATCCAAAGGGGTATCCTACAAATATGTATGGGCTGGCTCTTGGCTCAAATTTGTCTTTATGAGGTTTAAGAATGGTAGGATAGCATAGGCACCCAAAGCTTCTCAAATGGGAATAGGTAGGCTTCTTTTTATAGAGAATTTCAAATGGGCATTTGTTATTCAAAACTGAAGAGGGGAGTCTATTTATTAGGTATGTTGCTGTTAGAATGCACTCTCCCCAGTACTTTAAGGGCAATTTTGACTGGAATAGTAGGGCTCTTGCTGTCTCTAAGAGATGCTTCTGTTTTCTTTCAACCACACCATTCTGCTGTGGTGTATAGGGACAGGTTCTTTGATGGATAATTCCTTTATTTTGAAAAAAGGTTGATGCCTCATTACTTGTGAGCTCCAGTCCATTATCAGACCTAATGGTCTTGATAGCAACTTGAAGTTGGTTTTCAATCATGGAGACAAACACTTTGATTGCCTCAAGTGCATTACTTTTAGAACTCAACAACTGTGTCCAAGTGGATCTGCTGCAGTCATTCACTATAGTTAGGAAATACTTGTGGTTATCATGTGTGGCAAGGTGGTAGGATCCCCAAAGGTCTACATGTAGCAGATCAAAGATGTGAGTGGATAATGTGGTTCTCTACGGGAATAGAAATCTGCCCTGCCTAGCCATGGGACAAATTGAACAAAGAAAGGTTGTTTAGGTGCAAAATTAGTTGGTATGGAATGGATCCCCCTCATTTTCACAAAAGGCACATGGCCTAATCTATTATGCCATAAGTAATCAACACAAACTCCATGACTTGATGCAGACAAGGAACTAGGGACATTTGAACAAGCTCTTTTATTATTATGTGAATGAAAAGTATTTACAGTGGTAATGGAAGGTGACTTAGATGCTTGTACATAATCAGAAAAACTGCATAGACTCTCATTAGTACAGACTGCTTTATTATTTGGATGGCAACTATTTACAAAAGGAGATGTAGACAGTGAGCTAGTCTGCACACTTCTAGTATCATGACATGAGTTAGAAATACCACAATTGAAGGAAGAAGTTGGAGTTGCTGATTGGCACTCTAAGCAGAGGAAATACAGGCCATTCCTTGCTCTACCAATCTCCAGAGGCCTCTTCATTGAAGGGGCCTGCAACATACATGTATAGGCAGAAAAATTAACAATGGACTTGAGTTGTAAGGTTAGTGAATGAATAGAGATCAAATTAAACTTGAAGCTAGGAACAAACAGTACTCTATACAAAGTCAGCTTTGGACTAAGAACTACATCACCTATTTCTGTCACTTTAACCCTGTACCCATTTGGAAAGGTAACTAAGAAGGGATATGGTATAACTTTAGTGTTAGTGAAAGAACTCTTGTTATAGGACATGTGATTTGATACACCAGAATCTAAGATCCAAAAGTTAGCAGGTAAATGTGAACATTTATATGAAAGATCACCAATGATTTCATCATAAGTACAGCAAGCCAATATACCTGCAAAGTTTGCAGCTGCATTTGCATGTTATTTGAGGTCTCAGTCATAGTTCCAATGTGAAGTTTCTCCAATAGACTCAGCAGTTGATTGTACTGGTCCTTAGTTAGGTTTGGTGCATTTTGAGTGTGAGGTTGATTTTTTATCCATTACTCTCAATGAGATCATGCTCTCCAGCAGGAAACTCTTGAAGTCCTGCATGTACATTTGCTGCTGATGCTGTATTTTTACCTCTCGTGAATTTGAAATTCTGTGGGAATCCATGTAACTTGTAGCACTTGTCCTTTGTATGCCCTTGCCTTTTGCAGTCGTCACAAAACATGCGTGGACCTCTGTATCCTGATCTGTTGAACTGGTTCCCTGTATTTGTCACCTGGTTGTAATTTGTTCTAAAGCCATTATTAGGCTGACTATGAACATTCATTGAGACTGATTCTAGGTTCAACTGATTTTGTGGCCTAACTTCATGTTGTTTTTCCTCCTGAATCAAAATTGAGAATGCCTGAGCTATTGTGGGCAGTGGATTCATCATCAAAATGTTGCCTCTCACTACTGTATATACCTCGTTTAGGCCCATCAGAAATTGGATTAGCCTTCTGTCTTGTTCTGCTTTATGCATATTTGCCTTTTCTCCACAAACACATTGACAGTTGCACTGAGTGTTGGCATTCAAAGTGTGCAATTCTTCCCAAAGCATTTTCATCTTTGTGTAATAGCCAGTAATATCTAGTGAGCCTTGGGTTAAATCATTGATCTCCTTTTGAAGTTGATACATTTTTGCTCCATTAGTCTGGTCATATCTATCTTCCAATTCCTGCCAAAGCTCTTTTGCATCATTCACATATTGCAGGCTATCTGCTATATCCTTCGAAAGTGAATTCAAAATCCATGAGGTGACCATATCGTCAAATCTTTCCCACTGTCCATAGCTTGCAGAATCAGAGTTAGGTTTCTTACACTTGCCATTGAATCTAATTTTGTTCTTTACAGACAATGCTCGTAGAACTCCTCTTCTCCAGGATCTATATCCTATTCCATCAAAAGGCATAGGTACCAAACTCGATCAAGCATTTTCTGATGGATGCATATACAGAGGATTAGTGGAATCCATAACTTCTCTCACCAGATTTGGTGTTTCAACAACTGGATCAGCAACATTATCTTCTCCGGCCATGATTTAAGGAATTGAAAAATTGAAGATGAAACAAGGAACTACAGCTCAAGTAGAACTGAAGAATTGAACTACAACTCAGAATCTAATTGGAGTGATAAATCGATGTAATCGAGAAGGAAATGATCTAAAAACTGAAAAGTTGAGCTGAAACGAGAAATCAATACAAAACTTAGGAGACTTATCTTCAGATTTAGATTTGAACCTAAAAATTCAGTTGAATCTGCAGAAAAACAAGGATGAAATTGCGATTGTGTAAACTCACGAGGCTTAATGCGCGATCTTTAAACAAAATTGAAGCAGAAGTACATGAAAGCGAGGATGATACAGAGAGATAGAGCCTCGCTCTGATACCATGTGAAGAACTGAGACTACTTGAATCGATTACCATTGGAGATGAACCTCCAAGCTGAGAACATTCTGGAACAGTGGAGCTGAATTGAAGAAATGCAAAAGTGTCTTATTGATTGCATATGGTGTGATATATATACACAATGACAGCTGTCAAGTAGTGGAGGTTCCACTACAATTTAACTAATTAACAACTAACTGCACTAAGCTTCTCTAACTAACTAACTAACGAGTACAAACACATAAATACACTTGACCACTCTTAACACTCGATTAGGAACAGGTTCGACATCAGTTATTAAGAACAGTAAGAACAATAGTAAACTATAAGCAAGGAAAGTGCAGCGTATTATTATTTCTCAGTAAATGTGTATCCTCTACAAATGAATAGGGTTCCTCTTTATATAGTAGAGAAAATTTGTTAATAACCGTGAGCGGTTCCGTTACTTCCGAGATTCTCGCCCAGATCCATGGTCGATTACGGATATCTCGTTGGTTCGTCATTTGGTGTCGATCATGCTTGGTCTCGGTTCCCAGCGAGTACTTCGATTTCCATGTCTTCGAACTCAGGCTCGGTACATCACGAACTTATTCTCAAGGTAATCTCCCGAGCCTATAAAATCGGACATACTCGATTTTAACCGTATACATAGCCAAAATTGGATTCTATGAATTTCTCACGTCTTCATCTATCACCAGCAGACTTTTGGGTTCCCTTTTCCAATCATTTGAATATTTTGAGTTTCCAGGGGAAAAAATGATTTGTCAAATTTATCTTCTTGTATATATCCCTGATTTGTCTTTGAATAAGCATATGATTCGCTGCAATCAACAAATGTTGCATATGGAGTGACTGTGTTCTTGTTCGTGTACATTTTTGGTTTCTCTGTTTTCTTCTTCTTTACTATATCTTCTCTCCTTATGAATTTTCATATTGGAAGTGATGAGTGTTGCTTCTATAGTGTCTGCTGTTCTAAAACAACAATAGTTGTGATTTGGAACAGCCTAATATATGATAGTTCCGCATGTACTTTAACTATTTGGAGCAGAAATAATAAGTTATTACTTCCTCTATTTCAATTTATGTGAACCTTTTTTATTAGTACGTACCAAAAAAAATGATTTATTTCCCTATCTGGAAACAGTTTACTTTTATATAATATTTTATAGCCACACAAAATATATGTGTCTCATTTTACACCACAAATTTAAAAGTCTTTGTCTCTTTTCTTAAACTTCGTGCCCAGTCAAATGAGTTCACGTAAATTGAAACAGAGAGAGTACTATTTAGGTCATTTAAAACAATTTGAGTTGGATGTTGTAATTTGTTGAAATCCATTTAAAGTATGCTTATGGTCCTTGGTCACATCTGGCACTTTTTGGTTGTTGCTTATTTTGTATGGATTTTTGTTCGGTGTTTATTATCTTGGTTGCTGATAAGGACTTAAACTATGTGATTATTTCTCCGAAGTGTGATCCCTCACTTATTTAGGTTATCAAGCAAAGTATTTTCCCTTTCATCGTTATCTATTTCCATTAAAATATTCAACTATTTTCTGTCAGTTCATCAATTAAAAGTAATTTGATGATCCAAGATTATTAGATACGTCTACAATTTGATCGTTCTTCCAATGATATTGTACTCTAGTCTTTAGATGCATCATGAACTTAAAGCTTAATGCTTGTTTGATGAAACCTTTTTATTCAGAATAATAACCGGAAGTTTCCATTTGTGCAGCACCAGTCCACCCTAACATTTGTTGCTGGAGATGACATATTATATTCATGAACTGGTGTGTATTGGCAGGAAATTTATAGTGAATAACAAGTATATAAGTTTTCTTAAGTTAATGGAACTAACAATATGTTGCTGATTGTACAGACACGGAGTAAGTGTGGATGTTGAGGACAAGGATGCGTGGTGCTTGAACAAGCTTTAGATGAGCCCAACATTAGTTGATGTTGGTAAGACAATGCCTGGATATAAAACCACTTGCTGTCATTAGCCAATCAATATATTCAAGGTGAACTCTGTAAAAGTTGATGTGAGGTGTGCTCAAATTTGCTGCTGCTTTAGTTACTTGAAAATTCTTTTTTGTATGTGAATCTATGTTTTAATTGTCAAATTAAACTGTAATAAGGCTGGTTGTGTTAGACTAACCTTGAGATGGATCATGGATGCTGTTTGGCTCAAAAGTTATTACATACCTTATGAGTATAAAACAATATAAAATAAATCACGGAAAACTCATAGCAAACCGTAATAATCCGTTGGACCAAATGAAGGGAACGAAAGTAAATACTCAGGATTAGGGGGAGAAACATTAGAAGCCTTTATTGATAATATTGATTTGGTCTGCCTCTCCATGAAGAGGTTCAGAGCCTTACAATGATGTTCCTCTTGCCCATAATTTTTGGGTATCGTTGTCAATTGTCTCTCTCTGTATAGTGGTCAAGAAGAAGCCCCCTTTCTAGGGTTCCCTCTCTTGGTATTTATAGCTGTGGGCTTCGTGAGCTGGCGATAAGTGGCCGTGACCACGTTGGGATTTTGCCTTTATGGTGGCGGATAGGCCATGGCCTTGCTGATCGAACCAGATGCTGGTTGAATATCGTTAATTCTGAGTGGTCGTGCCACTAATTAATCATGAATTAGCTTAAGACGGGATTAGCCTCGTTAATTATCGTGGGGTCGGATTCTGACCCACACAGATGCTATGTTTTTCCTTTATGGAAAAGAGTTAAGTAGCTCTTTAGCTTCCAAGTTAAGCTTAGATTTAGATTGGGGAATCGCTGAGCCATATATGTGATCTCCCAAATCAGCTGCTTAAGACATGCTTTGATGGTATAGATGATTCTTATTTTCTTTATAGCGCGCATGTGCATTCAATATTGTTGCAGAAACAACGTTTTGAAATTAGTAAGGTTTCCACAACTCCCCATTCTTTATATTCTACCAAAACTAAACAACACAAACAAACAATAACATTACCCACACACGCCCATGCTCATCCTCTAGCTCCAACTTCTTTGCCAAGAGCATAAGCATGCCACCTCACCGCCTGCTCTTGTCCGATCAATCCAAGCCAACATTATCATCTCTGGATTCAGGCCGTGTAGCCACACTTAATAGATATTTACTGCAAAAATTTCCGGTCATGTTTATGCAAAGCGCTTGTTTGATAGAATTCCCCAACCAGATGTCGTGGCAAGAACAACAATGATTGCTGCATACTCTGCTTCCGGGGACCCCAATCTTGCAAGAGAGGTTTTTGATAAAACCCCATTAAGCATCCACGACACTGTTTGTTACAACACTATGATTACAGGCTATTCACATAGCAATGATGGCCATGCTACTATAAACTATTTCTTGATATGAGATGGAAAAGTTTCCAGCCTGACTACACCTCGGTGCTTGCAGCTTTAGTTCTTATAGCTGATCATGAAATGCACTGCCGGCAGCTGCATTGTGCTGTTGTGAAGTCAGGCATGGCGTCGGTTAAATGTGTTGTCAATGCATTTATATCAGTTTATTTCAAATGTGAATCGCCCATAGGGTCATCTGTGCTGTCGATGGGCTCAGCAAGCAAGTTGTTTATATGAGATGCCAGAGCGGGATGACTTGTCCTGAACTATGGTTATCACAGGGTATGTGAAGAATGATGACCTTGATGCTGCTCGGAAGGTATTTCATGGTATGGATGAGAAGTTGCTTGTGGCATGGAATGCAATGATCTTTAGGTATGTGCATAAAGGTTTCATTAGACATGTTAAGAAAAATGTACTCAGTAGAGGTGAAGCCACATGAGTTTACCTGCACTAGTATCCTTAGTGCTTGTCCCGATGCTGGATTGTTTCTTCTAGGAAAACAGGTGCATGCTTATGTTAAACGAACAGAAGAGGAGATTCATGTGTCTCTACATTACGCTTTAATAACATTATATTAGAAATGTGGGAGCTGGTGAAGCAAGAAAAGTTTTTGATAATCTAGACTGCTTCTTTCTGCCTTTTTGTTGGTATTTATTGCAGTAAATATTCAATTTTGGGGTTCTTAGGAGATGGGTGAGAATGTATAATCGTGCTGCTTTTGCTGTCTAATTTTATAAACAAGAAAATTCATTTTTATCTGATTTTCCTCTTCAAAATGATAAAAGAATTATATTTGATGAAGTACTTACAAGTGATTAGAGAAGTCTATGACAACTAGTGCAATTTTAATTATTCATTATTGATACATTGTCTATAAATTCGCATGCTAGGTTTTTTTTTTCTTTCAGTTGTTTTGTCGTAGGAAATGGCGTAATAGTTGGTTTGGTTTGTTGAGTAAAGCACGAGTAATGAAGCCCCCTAGCCAACCCACATCTACCGCAGCGCGCTCGCACACACATGGAAACAAACATAGAGAGAACTTTAGAAAGTTGATTTTTCTTTCTTAATAAGCAAGCAATTGGATGGGTTCTGAATCTTCTGATATCAATTGCCCTCTTATGTTCCTTCTTTTTTTGTGGAAAATTTAACTTTTCTATTCTTAGCTTTATCCAACTTGCATCTCACTGGTTACATGTTTCTGTTGTAAAGATCTTATTATTTTCTATCCTTGCATATGTGTACATAATAATATGTTTATTTGTTAACTGCTTGTGCACCTGTGTGGAAACTCTTGGAGCACCAAATCACAAAGGTATTTCACTATTGACAAGTGCAAGAGACTGATAAGTGTCATGAATCCAAATATTATTGGGGCACATGAGAAGCACATGACTACCAGTACATTCTCATATATGCACACCTCGACCGGGCTGAGGAGTTGGGCAAGATTTGGTAAAATCCCAACAATCCAAAATATCTTCTCTCTACTCTTTCCCTCTCTCTCTCTCTGTCTTTCTCATCTTCTTCTTCTTCCTAATTCTTTTGGAATTCAACATAGGAGCTTGAAGCTCATTAATGGAGTTTTAGCTTCGAATTAGTTCTTTTTCATTTTACTCTTTCATTGTAGCTATGATTGTATTGAATCTTACAAGTAATAAAATTCTCATTTCTGCTCTAATTCTTTGATTTCGATTCAAGTACATTACAAATGGTATCAGAGCCATATCTTGGCACGTTTGGGAGTTCTACCGTCATGGCAGAAGAAACTGTGTTTGAAGATTTTTCAAAGACAATTCAATTGGCTAGTGTTCGGATGGGAGCAAACTTTGATAATTTGAATAGGAAATTGGATAAACTCAACTGGCAAATGGACAAAATCTTGGACAAGCTTGGAATTAATTTGAAAGATAATGGAAGTGCTTGCCATGTTCTTAAAGAAGATCGAGAAAGTACAATAAAGGAAATAGAAGGTGCGACAGGGTATCTGGTGAACTAGAGGTCTCATCAAGTGAAGGGTTCTTTAGAAAATTACCGGAGATGGATGTGCCTAATGAACCTATGGTAGAACCATTGAAGCTTGAAGATGCCTCTGTCAGAAAATCTTTAAGACTCAAGCACCTTGAGGCAGGGAACGAACTTATCATACCCCCACTTGAAGACGTTGGAAAGTCTTACGAGCCGGACGAATATGTCGAAATTGAGGTAAGTCAACAAGTTGTTCTTATGGTTGATCGAAAATCTCTCTTGTGTGAGTGCCATAGGGTGGTATGGTGTGTTAAGGACTCTAAGTGCATAATCTCTCATGTTTGGTAGGGAAGGAGTCATGAGTTAGATGACACACTTAAGTTGTTTGATAAATTGCCAGAACTAGATGTTGTTTGCTTGATTTCAGTTATAATTGTTCCTGTCAACGACAAAAAATATATGAATGATCTCTACACTATGATTTTTGATCCGGGAGGAATGATATTCAGTTGTTGCCTCACTACTTAAGCACGCTCTTCAGAATATCAAAGGATCATGGTGGGAGGGTGTTTGATCTTGCTGCAATTTTAATACATGACACCTGCTTCCCTGTATTGGATAGTAGAAATGTACAGTATACATAATTTTTAAAAAGATTGGCATTACAGTATGAGGGTCCATCTAGTTTAAGGTGCCCTGTTTTGACAAGATTACAGTATGTTTGGGCACTCAATTTCGTAGATTACCAACAAGGCGCTGAACTTGAGTTCTTTAAGGAGTTGATTACCTTATTGAATTACAAAAGGTGTTGCTGCATTGGGACTTGATCGTGTTTGTTCTAGTCATTTAAATGACACCTTTTCAAATTGGAACTCAAGAAGGACTGTGATTGTTATTACAAATGCTGCAATTTTAAAGATACAAAAGGCTGATGCTATAGTTGATAGGCAGCCTGAGAAGACTTCAGTTGACAAGCTCACTCAGTTGTGTGGCAGTCATTGGCACTTTTGTGGGTGTCAGTGTTACCTGCCATTAACAAGTAAACAACATCTAGCTTCTAACATCGTCTCCTATATGACCTTGACGACAAGGTCAATTTCAAGCGGGATGGATATTTTGGATTGTTGGGATTTTACCAAATCTTGCCTAACTCCTCAGCCCGGTCGAGGTGTGCATATATGAGAATGTACTGGTAGTCATGTGTTTCTCATGTGCCCCAATAATATTTGGATTCATGACAATAAGTAATATTTTCCTCTACTTTTTGTTGCTTGAAATGCAGAATGGCGAACAAACGATCCAATAAGAAGCATTAGGGGCATTGGCTTCTTTAGCCCAATCTGCTAAGGTATTAAATGGTGCATTTATTCTTGACCCAGTGCTATTTCTATTTAATATAATGAATCATTAAGGCTAAATATTATGCATTAGTAGGAGCACTTCGGAACCTACAGTAAATTCTTTGTGAAAATTTATGAGGAGCTGGCATTATTTAGTGTAAAGACTGACAAAAGGCTGCATTTCCTAGAAACAACGTCAGGCTCTTGCCTTTCCTGCTGCAATTTTATAGCTGCGTGATGATGCCCAAGCTTTGCAGGTGAATGTCATGTATTTGTTATCTCTTTCATCTACCTCTTCTTTTTGATTAGAGAATGATGAATTATTTAACCTTCTTGTTTCATTCCATATCATGTAGTAGTACCTTTGGGATATTTATCATATTCACGTGAATGTGTTTACTATAATCAGCCCAATGAATTTGGTAATCAGTTTTTGAGCTATTTAACTTTGTGGCAGAGTTTTTCATTTTGGTTACTTGTCAATGGCATGACGTTGTAGGCATAAAAGAGGCAGCCAATTATACCAAGTGTGGTAGTAAGAACCTCTCAAACGACTGAATGCGTATTCTTGAAATATGACATTTCTGTGTCCTCTTCTATTCGGAAAAAATGAATTGACGATTTAACATATTGCATTATTGGAAACTGATGATTTCTGTCTAAATTTGTTAATTCTTTCATTTGGCCCTGCACTATGAAGAATACCTTGGATGAACTCTTGACTCCAACATAAAAAACTGATCTACTGGTTCGATATTTTTTTGGGCGAATTTCGTGTTAGGCAACATCAAAATGATAGGACTACTTCTCAAGTCTAAATTTGGTGCATTCTGTAAAAATATCCATGTCAGGCCCATATCTCTGAACATTCTGTGGGTGGAATCATGTATATTGGTTGGTCCTTTGCTACTTCTACAAATCATACCATCCGAGGATGATAACAATTTGGCATGATATCTTCCTTGTACAAAGTGATTTGAGCTCATCAGTCTAAAAGATTCACCCTTGTATGCATTTACATCGTCAATATGTTTAATATATTACTCAGTACTAAAAACTATAAGGGTATCTCAAGCACTGTCAGTGTAAATATATCTATCAACTTAAATCTGATGCCACAAACTCGCAGGCTTGTAATTCTTCTGTGGATCCAGCAACATTCCTAGCTGCTATCGAATCAGGAACTGTAAGGGTACAACTTCTCCACATAATTATTTCTATTTTAGTTCATAGACAACATAATACAAAATAGTTCAGCACTATGAATACAAGCTACATAACCTCAAATACTGCTTCATTAAGAGTTAACAAGTTCCTTTATGTAATTCATCATGAAGAAAAAGTTTTCTTCTACGGGTTGAAATTGGAAACTATGACTCATTCTATGACGCGAGACTGGTATTCCATCTTGAGCAGCTATCAAGAATTATTATACAATGAATACAACTATAATGTGTAGTTGACAAAAATAGTTGAGCATCCTACCCTCCCCAGACCCCACTTGTGGGATTATACCGGGCTGTTGCTGTTGACAAAAAAATACTTAAGTTTTAACTATAGTTTCAACTGCGAAAAAGCTTTGATATTTTGATCAAATTAATTTCAACTAATTCTACAAATGTGTGTTCTGTTCTTAATATTTGATGTCAATTTTTTTTAGTATAAACTTTGACAAAAGGTGGCAAGGTCGAAGCCAATGAGGCATTTATCGGTGTACCCTTCTTATGAGAGAAATTTTATTCCACCTGAAATGTAGAAGATGCATGATAAGATCCAGAAGAATAGTTGTGAAACTTATCCCCTTTTTTAAGAATATTTGATTTAAATTTCTTTGCTTACCTCTATATGTTCTATTTGATTCGTATGTAAGTTTATCACTTTTAGTAATATGTTCTATCCGAGAGCTACAGAATACCAATTAAAGTTAAGGAGCTATAATTTCTATTTGATCATATCAGTCTCCTTGTTTTAGTTGTTACAAATATAATATTCCGATTATTTATATGGGTTTCATTTCAGTGAAAAATGATTCCGCGAGGTAACATGTGAAGTTGCCTAGGTGAATATGCGTACTCGCAAAATGATGAGGATGGAAAGGATGACAGCAATAATTGAATCATCTATTGCGCAAGGTATAATTCATGATTCACTTTCATTTTTAATTTACAGTCTCTCTGTTATGAATATTTGCCGTACCTAATTTATCTACATGGCACACTACAACCAGTTGGAGGCCACCTTAGGTGATGCAACAGTAGCAATATGTTTGATAATTTTGGTTCAATGTGATGGGGTCTTGAAAAGCTGATTGTAATAGCGAAAGACAGTATACGCTTCCTTGGAAATGTGTCGCAACAAAAAAAAGCACGAAATTTGCAAGAATGTTAATGTTAAGTTGTGTGACCAACTCATTTGAGGCTATGACTGGATCTGTAGATTGAGACATCTAGCTCTTCCGATAGAGGAATCAAATCAAGCACAAGTAGTATCGCTATAAATTTTCGATAAATGTTGAGTGATTTGACTAAGCATATTTACTACTACTGGAAGACACCTTTAAGAGTATGCTTTCTTTTTGGGAAACAATGGCATTTCTAAACTGCTTCTTTCTGCCTTTTTGTTGGTATTTATCGCAGTAAATATTCAATTTTGGGGTTCTTAGGAGATGGGTGAGAATGTATAATCGTGCTGCTTCTGCCGTCTAATTTTATAAACAAGAAAATTCATTTTTATCTGATTTTCCTCTTCAAAATGATAAAAGAATTATATTTGATGAAGTACTCACAAGTGATTAGAGAAGTCTATGACAACTAATGCAATTTTAATTATTCATTATTGATACACTGTCTATAAATTCGCATGCTAGGTTTTTTTTTTCTTTCAGTTGTTTTGTCGTAGGAAAATGGCGTAATAGTTGGTTTGGTTTGTTGAGTAAAGCACGAGTAATGAAGCCCCCTAGCCAACCCACATCTACCGCAGCGCGCTCGCACACACATGGAAACAAACATAGAGAGAACTTTAGAAAGTTGATTTTTCTTTCTTAATAAGCAAGCAATTGGATGGGTTCTGAATCTTCTAATATCAATTGCCCTCTTATGTTCCTTCTTTTTTTGTGGAAAATTTACCTTTTCTATTCTTAGTTTTATGCATCTCACTGGTTACATGTTTCTGTTGTAAAGATCTTATTATTTTCTATCCTTGCATATGTGTACATAATAATATGTTTATTTGTTACAAATGGACAATGTTGCCGAAGGACTATTACATGTAGCTTTTCTTTAGTACTTATTATCTAATTGTTTACCTGGCTTGAAACTGTTTTCTCTTGTAACTTTCGAATGGAATCTGTTATTTTCTCTATGATTTTAATTTTTTTATATGTTCTGCTTTTACAGAGATTCATGGAGAGCGCAAGTGAAGCAGACTTCAGATAAGCATGTCATTATAACAAGTGAATTTCCGAATGCAAGAACTGAAATTCTGTTGTTTATGTTAAAGATATATATGTGACTATGATTTTCCAAATAAGCTTTTTCGGATTACAATGCCCTTGTCTTAATATTGACATCTTCTAATGCGGGATCGAACTCATGCGTAAATTATACTATTTATTTGTTTATTTATATGACTTGTGTTGTACTTTACTGCACGACATTGTCCTTGTCTTTATATATTTGTTTTTCTGCTTTTAATTTTTATTCATACATGTTGTATCTCATTTTTTTTTTAATCATTTGGCAGTAGATTTTGAAGGAGAAAATGTATATAACGGAGAAACAGTCGGAGGAATTAAGGAAAAATATTGGTTATATGGAAGGTGAAAATGGGTCGGAAAGTGTAGCAAGTATTGAGAGAAGTATAGGAGATTTAGGTGGCCACCAAGAAGAAGATTAATTATAGTGAATTATTTCCTTCTGGCTTCTGTGCATGTTTGTTTTATTATTAGGTGGTAGAATGTAGATCTTATTAGATATTTCTACGTCCTGTTGTTAGCTTTTGATGTGTAGAAGTAGTATCAATACTAATCATCTGATCCGACTAATAAAATTTTTTGATTTTGAGTTACATGTTTTGTTTCATCTTTTCTAAGAAAATATTTTTGGCACTCGATTTGATTGGGATCTCTTCAAAATGCATTTTCAGTAATGAAAAGAGGAGCATAAAATCTTTATCCAATTTTGTCATTTTTACATGTCCTAAAATAATCCGTATTCAATAATAAATGTCGAAAAAAGCCTACATGTCCAACTTCTAAAGATCTTTTTAATGAACTAATAAATATTGACTTGTAATATTGCTGCTAGGGATTATATCTCAAATAGTAGGTTGTCAGCCTGAAATTCATGCATTTCAACTCCACCAATTAATCGTAGTAGACTATAATAACAAAGAGGATGCAAATTCCTAACTTATTAGCCCCGGCCATACCCTACTAGTATAATAATAGGAGATATTTTCTCCTTCAAAATGATTACATTTATCAAGGAGAAAAGGGAGGGGCGGTTGTAACAATTTTAAGGAGACAAGGCACGGATCGCTAAATGTTGGTGGAATCCTTTCACTAAAAGACAATTTTCATTTCACATATATATAGACTATAATAAGCATAAGCAGAAGAAAGTGCAATAAACTTTCTCAAGAACTTCACTGATATGAAGTTTTCTCAAAATCAATTTCAATTAAGATCAATGATGAGTATACATAAAGGGTGGAGATGATCTAAACTTGTATGATTGTATCTGAGTCAAATATGACTCATTTTTCGAGAATATCTGCAATTCAGTACTTAAGTTTTCAAGTGACAATAATATATTTTTTTAAGCTTTAAATCACCCTATGAAACAAAGATAATATTATTCAAGTTACTTATATCTTTTTCACGTTTTCAAGAACTTAATTGATATGAAGTTTTTCTAAATCAATTATGAATATACACAAGCTGGAGATCTAAACTTTTATTTGAGTCACATCTGGCTCATTTTTTATAATATTTACATATCAATTTTACCGCAATTTGCAAGTGGCAATAATATGGCTTACCCTTTTCAAGTATTAATTACCTATCAAAACAAAGATAATATTTAAAAAACAATCTAAATATTCAGAGAAGAAAATATACATACTTCATGCACCACTTACAAATGAAAATATTATGCAAACAACTTTGTTGACTCTTAAGAGTAGAACGTGTATGCCGTGTCATGTATTACACTGCCTTGCAAAATAATATTAATATTATTAATATAAAGCTCTTCGATCGAAATGCACGTAGTGGTTATTATCGTGATTTCTTCTTTTCCTATAAAACTTCTGAAATAACTTGCTACAAAACAATCTAGTATGGGGTAAAATATAATAAGTAGATACATAAATTTGAATGTGATCAAGCAACAAAAAATTAGATAATGATAAAGCAGTCTGTGATTAAGTAATAGGCTGATGATCGCCTGCAGAACAAAGAATAAAACTTTACTATACACGAAAGAATAGAATAGAAAGTTCTGCGAATGACCAATGTAAACATTGCATAATAACTTGTTTATCAAGGTCAAAGTAATTATCGTATGAACCTAAAAACAAACAACTAAAAGTTTAATTTAATTTACGAATATTTTTTGTTATTTTAATTTTATGAAGCATATCTCACCTACTTCTCGATAGACTCTATACCTGGCGTATGATCCTTCCAAATAATATATCACGTCATATCATTCAACTACTTAAAAATTTAACTTCACTTGACATCATGAATGAAGCATATATGCAAGACAACTTGCATTTTGACAAAGAAGTAACAACAACCTTTAAACATATATTAATTTTTATCATAATTAGCATGTATAATATGATAATTTGTAGATCATCGCTCTTTGTGAAATGTCTACCCTGTTATTCATAGATGGCGTCATAAAAAAATCATATAGAACAAAACTAAATGTATAAATAAATGATAAATAATATGTGAAATTAAAAAAACAGAACTCGATTTCATGACTTTTTTCTTGACTCACGGCTTTGATATTTTCTCTACCTTCAAAAGTTGTACTCACTTCTCGGACAAGGAACAAGAGTGTCAATCTCTCGTGGATTCCTTCAACAATTAGAGAAATCAAATATAATATTAAAATATATTTTGTTTGAGAAAACCATGACAAAAAACTTTTATTTTACAAATAGCCCAATTGCATATTTTTTTCATAAAAAAATAACGACTAATAACAACATTTTATATATGTGGATGAATCTTATCCAATGTCTAGTGAGAAATAGATAGCCAAGTGAACCCTTTGATGCTACATAAGAAGAATTCAAAATCCATATATCTCATGAATTTCACGGTTAATTACTCTTAATCTTTCATGAACATTAAACTTTGAATATGAAGTTCAGAACATTTCTCAATGTTCTGTAAGACTTCCCTTTACATTTCTTTGGTTGCAATTTAGAAGAGATAGACAAGTGCAAAATAAACCATACTCTTAGAAGAATATTACTTAGTAAATTAATTGTATATATCTTTCCATATTTAGGATAGGTAATTAGTTCTAATTGATTTACTTACCGTTTATACCTTTATGTCTTTCTTGGTCAGCAAGACTATCATGTGTATATATACTCATACATCTTATCAATAAAATTATCAAGCTTGTCTGCAACTGCTTTATGGTATCAGAGCGGACGCCATAAAGGCTCTCTCGATCTGCAAGAGACCAACACCAACTTTCTCATGGAAGAGACCAATTCTACTCACTCTTCCTCTCCATTATCTTCAGTTGTACCAAACTCATCCACTTTGTCAACGCCTCATAGTGCCATCTCTTTACCGTTGACCAACCCTTTCTCTGAAATTCAAGCTTCCGCTGCTTCTCCTCCAATACAATCATCCTACACAAATCTTTCTCCTCCTGCTACTATTATGGGACCTTCATCTTTCTCGCCCAATATTTTTCCAACCATTCCAAGCTATCCTTCTACAGGTAATACTACTCGTCCTTTGTACCTTTCTAATGTTTTATGTGTCCCTAGCATGAAAAAGAATCTTATTTCTGTTTATCAGTTGTGTGCCTCCAATAATGTCTCTGTTGAATTCTCACCATTCTCTTATGTTGTGAAGGACTATCTAACGCGGGTGCCACTGGTACGAGGGAGACCTAGGAATGAACTATATGAGTGGCCAAAGAATCGATGCACTTCCTCAAATCAGACCATCAATCCTGCTGCTTTTCACAGCCAATTCTCGTCAGTTTTAGCATGGCATAATAGACTTGGTCACCCATCTTCACCTGTTTTACGGAGAATTCTCCATGCTCTCAACCTACCAAATTGTTCTGTTTCGTCTAAGTTTTTTTGTAATTCGTGTAAGTGCAATAAAATGCACAAAACACCATTTGGGATTTCTTCAATAAAGTCGTCTTCTCCATTAGAATTTATATATTCTGATGTTTGGGGTCCTGCACCTATTTCTTCAGTTGATGGGTTTCAGTACTATTTAATCTTTGTTGATCATTTCACTAAGTATGTATGGCTATATCCAATGAAAAAGAAGTCATAGGTTTCTCAAATCTTTCCACGATTTAAAGCCTTAGTTGAAAAATATTTCAATAAGCCAATTGTCTCCTTTTATTCTGATAATGGTGGTGAATTTATCCACCTGAAAGTTTTTTTTCCTCTAATGGAATCTCTCACTTTCTTACTCCACCATACACTCCTGAGCATAATGGCATTGCAGAAAGACATCATAGACATATTGTTGAAACCGGTATTACGCTTCTTCATAATGCCAACTTACCTCTCTCATTCTGGTCATTTGCTTTCCAAACTGCTGTTTATTTAATTAATCGTCTTCCTACACCTTTGCTCCATTATGATTCACCATATTTTAGAATTTTTGGCGAGGCTCCCAATTATAAAAAATTACGTGTGTTTGGTTGTCTTTGTTATCCATGGTTGCGTCCTTATTCCAACAACAAACTAGAACCTCGTTCTACTCCATGCATATTTCTTGGCTACTCCACAAATCAAAGTGCGTACAAATGTTTTGATCCTCAAACACACAGAATTTATATTTCTCGCCATGTCAATTTTATTGAGCATGTTTTTCCATTTTCTGGTTCCGCCTCCCATGAGCCCATTCCAACCGAAGAAACTTTCAGCATTTGGTTTCCATGACTACTTGCAGCATCCTCTTTGGCTACACAATCAGATTCCAGTACTAGGGCTTCTCTACCTGTGGCATCTTCTGATGATATTTCCTCACCATCTGATACATTGAGAATTACTACGTCAGGTATGGGTACAACTCCTGTGGCAGATTTAAATTCTTTTTCTTTACACGCTACCTCATCCTTACAGGATTCACTACCTGACTATAACATAGAACCAAGTGTTCCCATGTCGCCTTCCTTTGACCAGCCATCAGCATCTACATCAACCAATGCATCAGATATCCAAACTTCCAATGAACCATCCGCCGAGACAGCTTCTCCACCCTCCATTACCTCGTCATCTTCCACTTTCCAACATGTGTGTTCTGCACCTTTAACCTCTTCTACCCAAAATGCTCATCCTATGATTACAAGGTCCAAAAACAACATTACCAAACCAATTTAAAAACTTTGTCTTCATGCTATCACAACGTCATCTACCTCAGGTTTCCCCTCGTCTGCACCCACAAGCATCAAAACGGAACCCAAAAGGATTGATCATGCTTTGAGAGATCCTGTATGGAAGCAAGCGATGGTTGAGCAGATCAATGCCTTACAACGCCAAGGTACATTGACTCTTGTGCCACCTCCTTCTGGTAAAAATGTTGGGGGCTCAAAGTGGATTTTTAGAGTAAAAACAAATGCAGATGGCAGTTTATATAAATATAAAGCACGGTTAGTTGCACAAGGCTTTACTCAAAAACCTGGACTTGATTATATTGAAACTTTCTCTCCTGTTGCAAAACATACTACTGTCCGGGTTATTTTGTCTATTGCTCTATCTAACAATTGGTGTCTCAGACAACTGGATGTTAACAATGCCTTCTTTCATGGTACTTTGACGGAGGAAGTCTACATGTCTCAACCCAAGGGTTTTGTTGATTCCACTTGTCCAACTCATGTTTGTCGTCTCCGAAAAGCAATTTATGGCTTAAAGCAAGCCCCTCGTGCATGGTATGATGAGTTTAGTGGCTATCTACTCTCTTTGGATTTTAAAGCTTGTACATCGGATCCGTGCCTATTTATCTTCTCTGTTGCTGGGATAATCATTTATCTCATAGTCTATGTGGATGACCTCATTGTGACTAGTAATAGTGATTCTGTTGTTTCATTGTTTATTACCAAACTTGGAAGTCGATTTTCCATCAAGGATCTGGGAACTCTTACCTACTTTCTAGGAGTTCAAGTCATTCGCACATCGAGAGGTCTCTTATTATCTCAAAGAAAATACATAGAGGATATTGTGGATCGTGCTTCTATGGGTGGTGCAAAATCTACTTCCACTCCATTGGCAACCACCAATTCTCTTATGATGGATGATAGTGTTCATCTACGTGACCCTAAGGAGTATCAGGTTCTTGTTGGTTCCCTTCAATATCGCTCACTTACACATCCTGATATTGCCTCTGCAATACATCGTCTCTCTCAATTTTCGCATCGTCCAACAACTAAACATTGGGCTGCTTTGAAGCGTGTTATTCGCTATCTTATTGGCACAATTGATCATGGCTTATTTATGCACAAGAATTCTTCTCTTGATCTCCATGCTTTTTCTGATGCGGATTGGGCAGGAAATAAAGACGACAGGACATCCACTAGTGCTTATGTTATTTTTCTTGGAAAGAATCCTATATCGTGGAGTGCAAAGAAGCAACACTCTGTGGCACGTTCTTCAACTGAGGCTGAATACCGCTCTGTTGCCGCAACAGCTGCAAAGTTGTGTTGGCTTCGAAACTTGTTTAAAGAACTTTCACTCAGTTCTCTGCAACCTCCAGTTATTTATTGTGATAACTTGGGTTCTACCTATCTGGCTGCTAACCCCGTTTTCCACTCCAAGATGAAGCATTTGGAAGTTGATTATCATTTTGTTCGATCTCTTGTTCGTCAAGGGTTTCTTCATGTTGTGCATGTGTCTACTAAGGATCAACTTGCAGATGCACTTACAAAACCATTAGCTCGTCCAGATTTTGAACGATTGCGATCCAAGATTGGCGTTCTTGCTCCATCCAATGACCGCAATCTTGAGGGGGCATCTTAGAAGAATATTACTTAGTAAATTAATTGTATATATCTTTCCATATTTAGGATAGGTAATTAGTTCTAATTGATTTACTTACCGTTTATGCCTTTATGTCTTTCTTGGTCAGCAAGACTATCATGTGTATACTCATACATCTTATCAATAAAATCATCAAGCTTGTCTGCAACTGCTTTACATACAAGAACTGGCGATATTAAAGATAATCCACGTAAATGGTATACTAAGACAATGAGATAAAGTAGAAGGATCACTGTTAGACTTCTTAATAGAAACTAAGAGTTAATGTGCCATAAAGTCATATGTCTTTTTCTCTCTCATGAAGAGAGAGACTGATCAAACTTACATGGAGACATAGGAAACCAAATAGTTTAAGATACAGAATTAAACCAGAAACAAAAGAAGGAAAAGAGATAAAGTTGTCGAAATCCTCAATCTTCCACCCACGGCTCACAGCTCTAATTCCATGTCCTCCTACTCCTAACAAAAAAGAGAGAGCGTGTGCCATTGTTAGTATTTTGTCGATAAGAATGCCCCAATAAATTCCAAGATGTTCCGTACCTTTCACTAAAAGACAATTTTCATTTCACATATATATAGAATATAACAAGTCTCTTGTGTATCAAGACATCATAAGCAGAAGAAAGTGCAATAAACTACTGTATTAAACAAAACTCTACACTTAATCACAATACAAACTATATACAAGCTACAGCCAGAGAGGCAGCACATGGCCAGAAAGAAAATAGTTTTAAAATGTGAAATAGAAGTAATTGTTCCTACTATCTTGCTAATTGCTACATAACTGAAATTCAACATCAACATATACATCGAAGAAAATCCATTTCCATGGGATAAGAATAACTCCAAACAATTCTAAAGATAAATCCGTGTTGATGATCGGGCATATCAAAAGGAATAAAAGCAGCATTGTGAAAGTTTACCAACAAAATGGAAGATAGACCGGCGGATCCAAGCTCATTGACACCCACTACTAGAAGCTGTACACAAATAGGCAAAATCAGTTAGAAAACTTAATTCTTGTAACAAAGAAACATCCAAGTTATTAAAATATGAAAAAACTTACTATGTTTGTAGTAGGCAATGAAGCATAACATCACTCCATAAGCCAACAGACATCCAAAGCTAGACCCCACCCAAAACCTGTAATTTCTCTTCAAGTTGATTTTTTCTCCAAATTTCACAAGTGCCTCATATCTCTCCATCACAGAAACGGAAGACACTTCGAGGTCCAATTCTTCATTGTTGATTGATGCGAACTCCCGTTGCATTATAAGCATCACCTCCTTTGCTATTGCTCTTTTCCTGTGGTCCAAATAAATGATTCTAGGCTGCATTGTAACTATATTCGCGTACAATACATAACCGATAGCAAAGAGAGCAATAACAAACATAATCATTGTCAACCAAACAAATAAAGGAACAGCATGACAAGGCATAATTGGGATATCAAAATGCATCCCTCCTCCACAAATCATGAATGCAAAGGCAACACGGTCTCTAAATAAGCCAAATTCTTCATCAGTGAGCTTCAGCAACTCCATTATAGCAAAATGTAGATTGCTCCGCTCTTTTTCAAGAGCAACCAAAGTAGTAACACTATCTTTGAGAGCTTTAGTACAAGGAGGATTAGAAGAAGCTACACCTACAACAACAATAACAACAAACTCAGCACCTAACACATTAAACAAAAATAGAGCTAATCGAAGTCCAAAAATTCATGGAATCAAAATTTCTTAAGTAAATTTGTGAAAACCCAGATTATTGCAATGAGGGGGAAAAAAAGAAAGAAATATGTATTTCACATGGCAAACAATTTGAGAGATGGGCTAAACTTATATCTCATCTGTTTTTGTAATTAAAAACAAAAAAAAATGGGAAGGATAAGGTTAAAAGAGAAGAGGACAGCAGCTTTGGATCTTGCTCATTGGCGAAGATCAGGAATAAGGTGAAAAAAATGGTTGCTTCCCCAAGTTCAATCATCATGTTAGCAAGTAAATAGAGAAATTTTATTAGATGTGAGACTCAATAGAATAGTTGTATGAGGGCGTCAATTAGTTACGTTACTGCATTACTGAAATAGATCTAAGAGTAAATTTAGAAATTGAGAACCTTCTTTTTTTTTTTTTTCCTCAAATAAAATAGAGAAAGATAGAGAAGAAGAATAGAAAAGAAAGAACAAAAAGGAACAGTAAATAAGGAATAATTAAGATAGAAACTGAAAGACAGAGAGTAAGAGGAAGAAAAATACTGTAACAAACAATGAAGGAAAAAAATATGTGATGGGAAGAAGATGATATATGGAAGGGGAGAGAAAGACTTGGCAAGTGGGACCCATTGTAAAATATATACTTGTCAAGCATAAAATATGCCCTCATACTAACAGCTAAACACGGTACTATCGAAGCTATCTTTGAACTATGAAAATAAACAATAACATTGAAAAAGAAACAAGCATCGAAAGAAACAATGAAAAGACATAGCAATAAACATTGAAAAGACAATGAATAGAGAGGGCCAGCTGTGAAACCGAAAATAAAAGAAACAATACAGTAAAAAACATTAGATCTAGTCTAGCACTAAAAAAAGCTATATAAAATAGTATAATACCTTCATCCATGTTTTGTTCCGACCGGAAAGGAATATAACGTCTCACAATCTGCATAAGACTAGAACGTTCCTTACATGTCTACCGGAACTCATGTGTCTACCGGAACTGGAAATCATTTGTCTGCCGGAACTCATGTGTCTGTCGGAACTCATGTTAAAAAGACTGCACCAGCTTCTCTATTTTCAACTTCTCAAATGGAGACTACAATGTATAAACACTGTGCAGTATATATGTAATAAAGTTAAAACCCTTTTCAAAATCTTCTAATTTGTCTTATTTGACATGGGCTATCAAAACCATATTCATTTCTTTTTATTTTATGTTTTCTACTCCTTCCGGTTATATACAATATATTGGTCATGCACTTAAATAACGTACCTCTTTCTACATGCAAGACATAAAAGTTTATTATTAATCTGTATGTAGATACATCATAGGAGTATATATTTCTACGAAATAAACTACTCATATATAATTAAAACAATGAAAGTTCAAAACTCCCTCTAGCCTTTGTCCTTTTAACCAGTGTTTTAAAGGCGAGGGCGTTTTACTTAGTTTGGGGAAGGCCTCGAGACATGGGGCGTACATATCTTTAATTTTTTAAATTTATGAATTAATAACATAGTATTATAACACAATAAAATATAAAAGATGCATTAGAAGTTCAAGAAAACTAAAAATAATTAAAAAAACTCAGATAAAATAAAATATTCAGCATATTTTACAAGTATAAATAATACAATAATGTTAAAGTTACTATAAAATATTAATTAACCCCAACCTCTTACTTTCAAACAATTAAAAATTATAATTTCTTAAAAAAATATTATCAAATTGTATATATTACCTCTTCAAAAGTAAATACACAATAAATTTTTTAATATTGTAATTTTGAAATATTACTCCTTCATGAATAAATATAAAATTATTTTTCAATAGTAAAATATATAAATAGAATACATGGGGCATTTTACTTATTGATATCTGAAAATTTTAAATATTATGGTAAAAGGTCTAAAAAATAATTAAGGTAGACCGAAAGGTGTAAGAAGTTTATTTATTAGTTATCCAAAACAAGTTTATTTGGTCCTATGAATATGAGCGAAAAACGGTGAGCAAAGAAATGTGGTCCCCAGTGAGTGTAATTTGAGGAATGTTTGCAAAATGTAGTTTGTTGAAAAAACGAACATGTAGAGTGTGAGTGCCATGTCATTGTATTTGTTATTGTGGATAATTGACTCTTTGTCTATTTCTAAATTTTAAAGGCTTAATTAGATTGAATTATATGTATATCTTAATAAACGTCTTAAACATAGCATAGTAGTTCAAAAAAATTGGAAAACTAGTTACATTTTAATTTTTAATTATACATTTTACATCTAGATATAAAACAATGGAAGAAATGTCAAAAGAACATCATCTGCAAAAAGGCCACTCCATTAATTACTCGTACTACTTTTGTCGAGTCACTGCCGATTTCAAGAGAGAAAAGGCTATTTTGCTTTACCATGTTGAGACACGTGTAGAAGTCCAGAATTTCAGCTCTTATATTGGCGGTACTCTTTTAACGTAGTTGTCAAACAGTGTTAGGGCTATTATTATTATTATTATTGTTGTTGTTGTTGTTGTTGTTGTTATTATAGTGTGGAGAGTATATTCCATGGTTTGATTCATGATGATTTATGAGTACTTATTAGTTTAACTACTACTCTAATTAACTGATTATGATTTCTAATTAGTCAGATGTACCCAAATGTAGCTTTCAACCATGCAACATATAATTTATTTTTCCTTACATCTTTTTTTTTCCTGATATATGCCTTATCCTTACAAATATTTGTTATTACAAAAAGTTAAGAGTAATCAAAAGGGTTGTAGGGGAGAGAGAAGAGAGTATGATTAAATTAGTCGGAATACATTGGGTACTTAGTTTAATTCAATTCATAAAGATAGATTAGAGGCGAAGTCAGAATTTGAAATTAATGGGTTTGACATATTTATGAGCTCTAAATCATATATTTATATTTATTCCACAAATTTTTTAAGATAAATACAAAATATAAATAAAAGCTACTTGATTCGGCCACCCGCATCTAATATTGTAGCTTCGCCCCTGAAGATGATTAAATTTGTATTTCAATGTAAGAATATATATATACTTAGTTTTGCGCTATATGGTTAAGCTATTTGTAAAGATAATTTAATCGTAAGTTTCTAAACATTAGAATAAACAAGGGTCAAACATCTACTATTCAAGAAGGATGATTACACTATATTCTTTACTTTTCTCTTGGAACATTTGTATTGCATCAAAATTAAGGCTCGTTTGTCCGTACAATTTTTTTCTTTTTTAAGAAAAAATCTTTGGTTATACACTAATTGAATTTTTTTTTTTTTTTTTGAGGATGAGTTTTTAAATTTGAAAAAGTGGGTTTTATCATATGTAAAATTTTATTTTCCTCGCAAAACTACAATATTTTTTCAAGTGAAAGGTATGCTAAACACAATTTTAATTTTCAAATACTTTTTTCAACTTAACTCTAATTCTTTTTTATTTTCAAAAATCATATATATTTTTTTGGTCCCCTCCTAATGATGTATGGTTATATAAGAAAAAACAATACTCTAAAGATAAACCAATAAATATATTATGAGAATAAGTGCTATTCTTATGGCACTAGGACCATAATTATGTCTCTATTAAAGGTTATAAATTAATTTATATGAAATAAAAGTACTAACAGATTATATATTCCTCTCCTCCGTAACATAGTATCTTAAATGTTTAACACTTCCTCTGCTTTATTTACATGGCGAGGTTAAAAAACGAGAGTCAAATCTTTAATTTTTTTGTGCCGTACGTAGAATTGTCAATTAATGTTTTTAAATAAATATATTTAAGAACTATATTTATGTTTTCATATTTATTAGTTTACAGCTACGTCATTTTATTTTTTTTGGCAACAATATTTAACACTTTCATACATTATTATATTGTATTTATACACTATATATAAGCATAAATATGTATCAATCTTGTAGTATAACAATTTATAAAAGTGCCCGAGAGTGTTTCAATAAAGTGAGATAAAAACCTCTCGGCGCACGTTAACGTGGATCAGCTAACGTACGCTTGGAAGCCATGGGAGGGAGAGGCCGACCAAAGAAAAACCAGCAGCGGAATATGGTGGAAGAACAACGATCAACGGAAGCTAGGAAAGCAGTACTTGAACTGTTTGTATCACCAAAAGGAGTACGAATTGAGGACCTAGCTGGAAATCTGACTCCGAGGAACATGCAGAGTGAGATGAGCAAAGAGGAAACAGATCTATCGGGGAGTAGGGATAAATAGAAGACAATTGCAGCTACACTTGCAACTAATCAAGCTTCTGGAAGTGGATCTAGGACTGGGAAAGCTCAAGAGCAAGCAAGGAGAACAAGCAACAATGGAACAGTACCATGCAATAGTGGTACTGTTGAGAAACACAAAGATGCTGAACCAACGGAAGTGAAATCGAATCAATCATGGGCAAATGTGGTCGCGGAAAATAAGCTTGCTACGAAGGGTATGAACCTGCAGTTTGTGGCACCAATTGTTCAAAATGGAGAGAAAATAGCAAAATTAGAAGCTGAGGATGTTGAGCAGGAGAATGAAAAATGGAGATCTGCAATTGTACTGTATGTGATAGGGGATTCACCAACCATTTGAGCTATGGAAAGGTTCCTAAGCTCAGTGGGAAAGTTCTCAAAGAAGCCACAGATCTACTGCCATAATGAGGGATACTTTGTGATTAGATTCAGTAATATGGAGGAAAGGGATCAAATATTATACTCTGGGCCTCATACAGTGAATAATAAGCCTATAATTATGAAGGCATGGACTGAAGATTTCAATGTACATGATGAGGTGTTGAAGACGATTCCATTATGGGTAAGATTTCCCAATTTACCTCTAAATTGCTGAAGCATGAAAACACTAAGCAAGATAGGGAGTACTCTGGGGAACCCAGTGTATGCAGATGAATGCACCACTGGAACTGTGAGAATCTCTTATGCGCGTATGTTAATTGAAATGGATATAACCAAACCTCTGCCTAAATGTGTGAAAGTGCAGGATCCTAAAGGGAAACTAATTCAGCAAGAGGTAGCCTATGACTGGGAACCAACATATTGTGCTAAATGTCTGAAAATAGGACATGATTGTGCTGTGATAAGAAAGGAACAACCACAAAGAGTGGTCCAACAAAATAAAGTAGTTACAGGCAAACAGGTGTGGTTAAGAACAGATAGGAATGGAACAAATGAAAAGAAAGAACCAGACCAAAAGGTAACAATAGAAGCACCCTAGCAGGGTGAGTCTGTACCAGCAGAGAATGAAGTGCAAGAAAGGGATGAAGGATGAACTGCAGTACTTGGCAAATCAGCAGCAAGAGCATCTAAGGCAAAACAAAATGAGGAGCAGGGGAGCAACAGGAAAGCAGGAGGCTCAAAGCATGCATAACAAAATCAACTGTGATGCACCAGGTACAAGCAAAGAGTAAATGAGTTGTCTAGGGGAACATGATACTTATTATAAACCTCTTTTCATACCAATATGAGTGTGATAACTTGGAATGTTAGGTGTTTGAATAAAACTTACAAGCAAAAAGAGGTGAAGGAGTTCATAAAAAGTAATAATA